AGTAAAAGTGTGCAGTCTTGTCGTCCCATTCTTCCATTATTCCCTTCTATTTAAATGGAAGTTAGATGATTATTTAAAAGACTGTTTTTTTTATGTTACTTGTATCATGTAATATTAAAATTGAACTGATTTAAAAAATGTAAATTGATTCTTGAATATTATCATCAGGGAAACTGGGTCCCTTACTGAATGGGGGAGGCCACCTTGTGACAGAGAATGCGAAAAAGGCTGAACTGCTCAATACCTTTTTAGCCTCTGTCTTTACAGGCAAGGTCAGTTCCCAGACTATTACACCGGCAAACACAGTTTGGGGAGGAGCTGAACAGCCCTCAGCAGTGAAAGAACAGGTTAGGGACTACTTAGAAAAGCTGTCTATGGGGCCAGATAGGGTGCCACCCAAAGGTGCTGAGGGAGCTGGGTGATGTGATTGCTGAGCCATTGGCCATCATCTTTGAAAACTCACAACAATAAGAAGAGGTCCCAGATTAGAAAAGTGCAAACATAGTGCCCATATTTAAGAAGGAAAAAAGAGGATGTGGAACTACAGACCAGTCAGCCTCACCCCAATCTCTGGAAAATTCAAGGAGCAGATCCTCAAGGAATCCATTTTTGGCACTTGGAGGAGAAAAGGTGATTAGGAATGGTCAGCATGAATTCACCAGGGACAAATCATGCCTGACCTACCTGATTGCTGTCTGTGAGGAAATAACTCTGGGTGTGGGGAAACTGGTGGATGTGGTGTACCTTGATTTTAGCAAGGCTTTTGATATGGTCTCCTACAACATTCTCACAGGCAAGCTAAGGAAGTACTGGCTGGATGAATGGATTGTAAGGTGGATAGAAAAGTGGCTGAAGCATTGGGCTCAAAGAGTAATTATCAATGACTCAATGTCTATAGTTGGTATCTGGTATCAAGCTCCAGGGGTTAGTCCTGGGGCAAGTTTTGTTCAATGTCTTCATCAATGACCTGGAAGATGGCATAGAGTGCACCCTCATCAAGTTCGCAAATGACACCAAGCTGATGAGAGTAGTAGATATGCTGAACGGTAGGGATAGGATTCAGAGTGACCTAAACAAATGGGAGGATTGGGCTAAAAGAAATCTCACAAGTTTCAACAAGGACAAGTGCAAAGTCCTGCACTGAGGAAGGAACAATCCCATGTGCCAGTACAGACTGGGGGCTGACTGGCTGAGCAGCAGCTGGGGGTTACAGTGGACAATAAACTGAATGTGAGCCAACAGTGTGCCCTGTTGCTAAAAAGGCTAACAGCATACTGGATTGCATTGGTAGGTGTGTTGCCAGTAGGTCAAGAGAAGTGATTATTCCCCTCAATTCAGCACTGGTGAGGCTACATCTGGAGTACTGTGTTCAGTTTTGGGCCCTCCACTGCAGAGAATATAGACAAATTGGAGAGAGTCCAGTGGAGGGCAACAAAAATGGTGAGGCAGGGGGACGTGTAGGGGTGTATGGGGGGGCACGTGTACCCCCTAAGATTGGCCGCTGCTGCCAGGGTATGTGGGCAGTTACCGCTTGCCACCCCCCACCCTTGCTGTTGACACTGCCGCGGCCACCTGTGGGTGGTCCCTGCTCAGCCTGCCCTCGACACCAATGTCACTGATGCCACCTGCAGGTGGTCTCCACTTGCCACTGCCACACCCCCCGCTGCCTACGGGCGTTCGCCATGACCCAGCCTCGGCTGGCATGAGTCGTTCATGCTTATGGGGAAAGACTGAAGGAATTGGGCTTATTTAGTCTGGAGAAGAGACAGAGAGGATTTAATAGCAGCTTTCAACTACCTGAAGCAGGGTTCAAAGGAAAATGGAGCTAAACTGTTCTCAGTGGTGGCAAACGACAGAACAAGGAACAATAGTCCCAAGTTGTAGCGAGGGAAATTTAGCTTACATATTGGGAAGAATTTTCTCACTAGGAGGGTAGTAAAACACTACATAGGGAAGTTATGTCAGGTGTGATTTTTTAAAAAATCTTTTAAGTACCCAAAGAACTACTACTAGTAGTAATTGAAGTAGTATTAGTATTATTGCTTCTACATTACGTGGCCTTAAGTTATACATAACAATATGGAACAGAACGTTAACAAAACCAAAAAGATGGACAAATGAACCACTGAAATAGTGACTTTGAGTCCTATATGGAAATGTCAATGGATGTTCATCCACAGCTTGGCTTATTTCAAAATCTATCAGAACCAAGTTTTTTTTAAGAGGGAGCAACCAGCAAAACTTGTATGACCCAGATGCAAAGTTAAACACACAGTCATGTGTCTGTGTTCATGGTGTTACACTTGAAAATAGATCCCTATATTGCGTTTAATGAAGGAAAATAATTTGCCATCCCCTAGTGGTGTACATTCAGGTAATTTTCAAACAAGAATCAAGGAGAAAAGAGTCTTATTTTGCTTGCATTTTACATTGAATTATTCTATAGTGTTAGTATAACAATTTTTTAAAATTCTTTGCATAAAAAATGAAGCCTCTTACTAGAGAGACCTTGGAGCATTTTGTGACTAAATGCAACAGCTCTGTCAAGAACTGGATTGGTACAAACTGATTAATATGTATACAAATCTTCCAAGACTTTACAGTACATAGGCTTATCAGTCTTAATCCTATAACACCTAGATTATGCTTAAAATGCAGTGTTTATTTTTGGAACTTGTTTACAGCATTACATCTTTTAATAAAACCACATCTTACATAAACACTGCTAGACAGTGATCCCTAGCTGAACTAGATGATCTCTTGAGGTTCCTTCCAACCTTACTTCTCTGTGATAATGATAATGGAGGACTAACAAAATTGTGGCAGATCCAATTAGATCATTCAGATAATTCCATTTTATACCATTCTAAATTCCATTTTATACCAATTTGGCCACAGTGGTAACGGGTGGGATTTTTTATGTTTTTAAAAAATTGGTAAATCATAGAGGAATAAATTATACCGTCTGGGCATCTATATACCAGCATAACAATGTCTTCACTAGGAGGTTGCTAAACAGATTGATTTAAATCAAGGCAATTTAAATATCCAGGTGTAGAGCCTGTATTTAAATACTGAATTTTAATCAACTTTCTCATTAGTGCTTTTTGGTTAAAAAAGAGTGCATTCACATTGGTTAATGTAAACATTAAACACTGATTTATGACTACATAGAGCCTCTACACTTGCATTGGTACATTTTTTTTTTTGCTACCTAAAAGGGTACACTAAAATTCTATATCTGGATTTAAGTAATAACATAACTTAATATTCTTATTAAGGTTCATTTTTATTAATTTTATGTTTTAGCATGTTAAAATGATGAATGATAAATCACCCATTTAGTAGACAACTATCTTTATAACTTATGATTTCTGTCAAGAGGCTGCATTAAAATCAGTGTGCAGGAACACTCAGGCTTAGGGAGTGATCCTGATGTAGTACATGGTGGTATTTCCTACAACCATGAGTTAGATCCCGATGTCTGCAATGATTTCACCAGTCTTGTGCACCCATTAGCACAGTCCATAGGGCCCCTACAAGATCAAGGCTTTAAACCAATGCATGACCTAATAAAGCTTGACTTCAAACATTTTTTTTATACTGATTGTTTCTTTATATAGGTAAGTATATGAGCGTGTTACTCAATGTCTTTGTCAGAGGCTTACAGAAGGTTAATCTTGGCTGACCTTTTGGATTGTGATGGGTAGGGATCCTGGTTTTCTCTGATTTTAAAAAATCCCCAATTTTTGGATTAAAAAAGTCACTTATATATACATACATACATATATATGCATGTATGCGTATGTGTGTATATATATGTGTGGGGGTGGTGTTTCATTTTAATCATGGGAAAATGTGAATTTGGGAATACTTTTTTTAATCTGAAAATTGGGGATTTTTTTAAATCAGAAAGCCAGCATCCCTGGTGATGGGGCATAAGACAGTCATATGGTACACAGGGCCCAGAATGATTAGAGCTTTATCGGTCAAACTAGTCCCATGAGTTGCACCCAGAAAGCTCTTGGGAACCAGTGTAGATTCTGGAGCCCTGGGGTTATATCTAGGGACCTACTTAATCTCAGCGAGACAAAGGGTTTTTCATGACCTGTTTGCAGCATGCAGAGCTGATTTTGTGGGCATGGTGTGGTGGCCCCGCCCCTTGGTCCTGATTGGCAGAGAGGCCCAGGGTGGGGAGAAGGAACAAGAGGTCAGCCACCATCCTATCTGCCACCCCTCATGCCACCTTACCAACTGGCACTTTCTCCTTCAGGCAGCAAGAACCAATGGCTCTCACAAGGAGCCAGCATTTTATTTTTATTTAGACTTTTTTATGTTGATTTTGTAAATTATCCCATTTCACGGTTTCTGCAAACTCCACAAAACCACAGATTAAGTAGGTCCCTAGTTATATCCTTTCTGTGCAACTGACATCTATATCTGTATGCCTAATATAAATTTACTTACTAAGGGAACTGGGCACAGCATCATTTTGGTATGACCTTGCCATTTTAGGCAGTCAGATCCAAGTGTAGAATTTACATATCTTTTGGGATACCTGTGTTCCTGTACAAGGGATGACAAGAGTTTAGATAACTGGAATTCACAACAGCTGGTATGCCAAGCAGGGAGGACACCTAAGGTAGCCACTAGGAAATGTGGAACAGGGGGACACATCTGGAATCAGTCTTCTCCTGCAAAGTGCCTTCATGCACTTATCAACTGATTTCTTCCTTTGGATGCAGGTAACTGGCTTACTTTTTCATCACTTACATAGCTGGCAATGATGACATCCACCCTTTATACTATACCTAGTGGTTTAAGCATGCACCCAGGAAGTGGTAGACTTAGTTATACTGCTTTACAGCCTGAGGTGTTTCAAACCTACGGGTATCTTTCTCACCTCCTGGGAGAGTGCTCTAATCTTCTGCCCCTGCTGCTAAAGCAGGACTGTTGCATAGAAAGGAATGCAACATCATACGGCCATGAAAAGATAGCACATGACTCTGTCATCCAGTGTTGAATACACTATCTTGGAAGCCAAGAATGCAGGATTCATAAGGCCCGAGAGAGTAAGAAAGAAGGAATGTGACTTGGCACAGAAAGATGAAATGTTTAACCAGGGTAAAGGGTTACCTGCCTACAAAAAGCAGCAGACAGAAAGCCCCTAAACTGGGGGAAGCCCTGAACCACTGAACAAATCAGGGCTAAAACTACCAGTGTAAAGACTGCCTGCCTGGGTTAACTTTTGCCTGCTGCATCCATTTTAAGTTGGCTAAAGGTAAGGCTATCTCTTGCTCCTCTGCTATCTAATGAAAATGTGTAGTATGACTGATTGCTGTGTTCTAATCATTTGTGTATGTAAAAGATAGGCAGCACCACCATCACCTATGGTTTTGAATGAAAGCGATTGTTGACTGTTAAAAATGCAAAACTCTAGAACTCTTGGTTCAGAGATACCTTTTATTAGACCAACTAAGAAATCAGAAAAAAATTATCTTTTTCTGCAAGCTTTCTGGCGCACACACCCTTCCTCAGGCTCAGGAAAAATGAAAGATGATAAAAAGTCCCCATAGGTAGAAAATAAACTTCAGTTTTGCACAGAGGAAGCTGAAGGTGCAAGTCTGTTCCTCTGGGACCATGAAAGTGTCTTATGCTTTGTGCTGAACTTAATGCTATTGGTGTGATTTATGGGTAAGTACTCAGAGTAGGCCTCTTGAAATGAACCCTTGAGTCCCAAGTGGATTGAAATGTGTGATAGGTGTTGGTGATATTGGCTCAGCCTCTGTACATCCTTTGTATCCGTACATCTCTGGGCATGCAAAGTAACAAAACTAGGCACCTGCCTACCAAGCAAAAGCTTGAGACTGTGGACCATCACAGTCTCAAACAACAATTAAGCAGGTGGATTGTGCTTTTGGATTTACATGCCTCAATGTTTGTTTGAATCTGACCCTCTGAATCACAACACAGATGTGAGTTTGATGTGGGATCGTACCCATACTCTGTAAGACTGGGTTATATAATCAGGTTTAGAAGTAGAAATTGGAACTGTTGTATCCTGAGTGCACAATACACCAAGTCCGTATTCTCCTTAAATTATTCAGTTTTGTCACACTCCCTATTTTGATTCTATAACTTTGAATATGCCATAATTCATACATTGAAATGTTTTCAATTAAATGAAACCATTTTCTTTGGCGTATGGCCTTCATAGGTTCTCGCTGTCTTAACTTGAAAGGCGTAGCTGACCAAAAAGGGCAGTGAGGTTGGAGTATTTTGTTTGTTAAATAACTTATTTGACAAACAAAACACTCCAACCCCAGTGCAAATGTGTTTTGCAGGTGTCACAAGATCAATGCCCCTTTGTTGGAGGGGGGAGCTCTGCCTTGCAACTTTCCAAGAAGCAGCCTTATTTGGTCTCCCTGTCTTGAGAGGACCCCCGGAAAGCCAGCCCCTAGGAGGGGACAGCCTCTGAGCTGGAGACCCTGTATCTTAGTCTCCAGCTTCCTCAGTGATCCATAGCACCCACACCTGCAACAGCTCCTTCCTTTTCATTAGCTCCCACGAGGGGGGGTGGGAGTGTTCTTTTAAAGAGGAGGGGTAGCAGAACAATAGTGTCCCAAACAGCACAGCAATCTCTGCTCTGAAACAGCCAGTCTATAGTGTGCCACACCAGTTCCCTCTGCTCTTCCTTTGACTCTGTTCCGTCCTCCCTGAGACTATTCTTTTTCTCACTAATCTGTCTTCCCTGGGACTTTCTCCATCCAGCTTTATCAGAGCCTCATGCTTTCTCCTAAGGCCCAGTCAGCCACACTTCAATAGAAGTTACAGAACTGGTCACCTGGGCACACCACTCAGCCAGTACAATGAAAAATAAAGTCACAAGGAACCAATCAGGGAGCAGTCTCTGGGCCCTGCAGCCAGGTCCAGACTGCTATCTCCCTGCTGGGGTGAAAAGGACATATAGGTGTGTTGCTTATGAAACTATTTACAAGATTTATCACAAAGCCCTCTCACAATGGCCCCCCTCCCCCAAATATTCCCAGCATGAACCACAGGCTAGAACTCAGCCCACTTCGCCTTTTCCCTCACAGCAAGCACATGAAAAAAAAATGGTAGGTCAAAGATTTACTCATCCCTTGGTCTTTCTATTAAGGAACAACAAACTTGGTGCACTGATTTACCAGTCAGTTTTTATAAAATTTTGACATCAGAATGCGCTATAAACAGGTGCTTTCACCCTAACTGCTCATTATTTCCAATTTAGTTGTTTCTTCTGGGAGTTAAGGGTTGACTTTATGGGCTCAAATCTTTATGGCAACTCATTGATTTGTCATAGCAAGCAAATTAGACTTAATTGCAAGCTCTGGAAGCCGTGAGTAGTGAAACGTGCTCAGCTGTGTTGGTGTAAAGTCAAATACACAGCAGAATGGATTTGCACTTATAGACTAACCACAGCATGTGTGTATATATCAGGGGTGGGCCAGATGCAGCCCGCGGGCCAGATGCAGCCCGCAAGGCCATTCTATCAGGTCCGCCGGGCCCCTAAAAAATTTAGAAAATTAATATATATCTGCCCTGGCTGCCTGCCATGTGGCCCTCAATGACTTGCCAAAACTCAGTAAGCAGCTCTCCACCCAAAATAATTGCCTGCTGCTAGTATGTGTGCGTGTGTGTATATATATATACACACACACACACACACATATGTACACACCCCTATCTGTATACATACGCATGTGTACATACATATATGTGTGCATACATGCCTATAAAACTTCTTTACTGTCCAAGCCCCCAAGGCCTGGAATAGACTGCCTCCAGAAGTGGTGCAAACACCTACTCTGGACTCTTAAGAAACATTTGGATACCTATGTTGCTGGGATATTTTGACCCTAGCTGACTTCCTGCCCCTTGGGCAGGGGGCTAGATCTTCCAAAGTCCCTTCCAGCCCTAATGTCTATGAAATCTATGTGTCTGCGTGCACATATCTATGTGTGTGTGTATTTATAGGTGTGTATGCGAGTATATTTGTGTGTGTGTGTACAAGTATGGGGGGACTGTCTTGGGCAGGAGCTCCCTGCAGGGGGCCAGCGACAGCAAACCCAGTTACTCCAACACGGACGGCGTCCTCTGCCAGGGGAACACTGAAAAAAGACCCAATGCGAAAGGCCGTCACGGAGCGCCACACTGCTAGCTTCCCGAGCAGAGAGCAGCTCGCTGGTGCTCAGTCAGGCTGGCCCAGCGCCCCCGCCTTTTCCCTACGCCCGGCCTGCCGACCCAGGGGAGGCCGTTGGGGCAGCGTAGCAGCAGCTGCAGCGAGCGGAGGGAGAGAAGGGAAGGGCCCGGGCACTCCCTGGGGGGAACTGCCGCAGCTCCGAGGCCTCCGAACGGCCACATTTCAAATCCTAACGGCCGCTCCGAGCCTTTGTACAACAAACAGTGCAGCAGCATGCCTCCCCGCGCATGCGCGTTCGAAGCAAGACCAGAGACCCGCGTCCTCTCTTCCCTCTGCAGCAAGCGGACGGTGGGGGAGGGGAAGAGAACACAACCTCCGGAAACCCCCCCACCCAGTCCTGTTCCTTGCCGCGCTCCGCAAAATGGCGGCTGTGCACGCGTGGGGCACGCCGGGAGTAGTAGTTTCCCAGGCCTCCCTGCGGGCGGAGCGGGCGCCGCGGCGCCAACTACAGGTCCCGGCAGGCGGCGGGCGTGGAGGGGTGCGCATGCGCGCTGGAGCGGGCGGGTTGCTGTTGTTACAGAGGAAA